CCAATTACGATTTATTTGTCCGCTCTGAAGTATGGAGGTAAATAAAGCCCCTAACCCCGATCTACCTACAACATATCGAAAATGCTGGGCATTAAATGCAGAGATCTGCGGTCGTGTTCCACCTTATCGAGCACTCTTCTCCGGTTCGTTTTTTGTGGCTGAACTCTGTGCATAAATTTGTTCGTTATGCTTCGGGAAAAACAGGGTCACACTTCGCTATCACAAACTGGCATTTTGTCACGTTTTTTATGGTTCGTTTTCGGGTTTCCCTGCAGCATTTTTCCAGCGATTAAGTGTATCATGCATCCAAATATGCTCATTTAATGCGCACTTGGTCGTAGTCTTTCTCTTGGAACTGAATTGAAGTGGAGTTGTGTGGTATTGCGCCTCTCTTTTTAGTAATTGCCGTACAGGAAATTAGTTATTCACATTGGGTTGTACTTAATTTATGCATCGCTATAATTGTTTGTGCTGCTGGAAAATCGTTTTCATTGTTCGTGTGCGGGGCAATACGGAAAGTTCTCGTTAATGTGGGCGTTATCGGAATCATTACGGAGAAGAAAACAGAAAACAAACACGATGGACAAGGGGGAGAACTCCATTTATTTGATATGTAACGAAACGTGTGAGAAATTCCCGAAATCTAGCGGGCTTTTTTTTATCAGAAGAAATATGAATGGGCGGGGCCGCTGGGAAAAGTAAAGTGAAAGAAACTTTTGATAAATGACTGATTGATCGGGAAGCGCTAACTAAGGAAAATCTCGGTTTTCCCGGGGGCCGACACTAAAACCATGTCAAACAAAATTATCGGCGGGACAAGTTAATGTCCTATAAAATATGAATAACGAAAGTTCACCGCTTCTTGGGAGCTAAATCAAAACAGAAATTAACAACAAAAATTATTCAAAACGCTTTGCTCCCTCCCCCGAAAAACCAAAATGATTTATTACCGGGGGGCGGGCGAAAAAAAGGGGGAAAAACGAAACGAAAACCGAAACAAATAAAATGAGAACATTGAAAATCAACCAAAACGCAAAGCGCAGCAATTAAAAAATCCGTTGAACTTGCCGGCAGTCGTAAACCAAAACCGGGGAATACAGAATACAGAAAAGCAGAAAAGGAAAAACCGAGATCCAAAATTCATTGCCCCAGAGGCTTTGACAAGAGCAGAAAACAATTAAACTAAGATTTAATGGTTTTCACACATAATTTTGGAGTCTTCTATAAAATAAAGGATTTACCAGCGAACCCAAAACACTTGAGAGAGGTTTACAGAATACCAGACCACCCCTAACAAATCATTTATAAACATAATTGCTATAGTCACTTGAGAATCGGGTTAAAGATAAAAGATAAATGTGGAATATCTGAAAGGAAAACAAAGGCGCCGCAGGCCAAATGTTTTTCAATGGGAAAGCCCCATGGAATATTTTGGAGTAATGATTCGAGTGGCTTTTCCTCCAAACAAATTGTCTCCGCTGCATATCTATAACTACGTTTTTAACACTTGCCATCGACCTCCTGTCGCGCGGTGGGAAATCAAGTCTTGGGCTTGTCTTTGTCAATAAATATACATTTATTTTCCCTACGCGCTGCGACTATAAATTAAATCAGAAAACCCAACGACCTGAACAACAATAACAAACAGAAAACCGAGAGCTTTCTTGTAGGCCATTTATTGCTCTCAATAATGAAGCCATTACATTCCGTTGAGGGGGTGTTATTGCAGTCGATGCTTAAGTGCAAATGGCCATTAAAAACAATTTAGGGGGCGGATCACCATTCTCGGCAAAAGCATTTAGAAATATTGCAAATTACTGCAAATAATTGACAAACATTAAGTGCCAAGTGGCGTGGAGGAAAATCGAGGAAAACTCTGGCAGTCGAAAGGGAACAGCTGGCAAAATTTACACAACATTCATTTGGAAAAATCAAAGGCTCTTGAAAAATTCGGGTTTCGAAATTGATGTTATTGTGATGACAAATCAACCTCAGTGCTGGAAAAGCTTTCTATCTAATGAAACTGCAATTCACACAGGAGCAAGGTGGAGTTTCTCCCAGCTGCCGATGTCAGGGGGTTGCACTTGATTTATGTATTCTTTCCTTGAGAGTCCCGAAAGTGCTTTCTCATCGATACCATACAATGGGATATTTATTAAATGCTGCAACCGAATTCAATTTTCGCAACTGTTGCCAAAATATCAGCTTAGCTAAGTGGAAGGTCGTCGGATGAAAGGGGGAGGTGATTTGTGCAGGGCGGAAAATTTGAACATTTGTTAAAGCGACTTATTAATGTTATAATCTAATTGTGATTTGCAGCTCGGGCTTTGATATCCAGGCATAAAAAATAATTTTTGTAGGAGGGTAGAATATGCGGGTAACAAATTTCCTGACCAGGGGTAAAATACATTCAAATATGGGATTAATAGTAAGCTGCTATGCGAGTCACAAAAAAGGGATTTTAGTTTTTATACTTGCATGATTTATTAGGTGGCCGATCAGGTATTAACTGCAGCTGTTCAGAAACTATTCATTTCTCCTCAACAAAAAAACAGTTTCAATTAACTTGAAACTCTAGCTAATTTTGGTATAAAGCCACAAAACTCTTGACGACAGGACTTCTCCGTCCACTGATGGAAGTTTCCTTCATCCTTCCGAAGCGCTAATTAAGTAAACAAAAGGGGAACCTCTGAAGCCAAACCGGAGCAGCTCAATTAATAATAAAATGGGAAAATGGGAGCGAGCCAAGCGAAGCTCGTAAACAAGCCACAAAAAAACTTGAACTCATAATTTCCGGAGGTGCTAATAAGTTGCAAAATTATTTTCAATGAAAATGGCTGCGGGAAAGCGGGGCTGGGGGCGCTGTGCGAAAAATGAGGGCGGGGCAGCGGTAAAAGTTGCCAGGGCAGCCGCAGAGTATAAAAAATTGACTTCAATTAAAGTGCCATAGTTGCCTGTATAAACAGCACACGGAAAAATGAAAAGCGCAAAACGAGAGCCGAAAGGATAATGATAATTACGGCCAACCAGGACGAGGAGCTGGGAAAATCGGGGGAGAGCAGGACTTTGGTTCCGACTCCTGAATGAGGCTGCAAAGTTTTTGTGTTTATTTTATGCTCGTGCAAAAAAAGCAACCAGAAAATGACGATGAAAGTTTCAATGTAGTGCGGCTGATAAAGAGGAAAAGCCGGGAAAAGGCAGGAGGAAAATGCAGCACAGTGGGTGGCTTTATAGCGGCTACATACGATTACGAGGACGTTAAACAAATAAGCAAAAGGCAATGTGTAAAACCAGCACAGAGAACACAGAGGCAAATGAAGAAGCCAAATGTAGAGCGCGCATCATTGACACACACATACTCAAACGGCACACATACTCACACACCTTCAAAGGCAAGGACTCATTCAGGACATACGGTGAAGATCACAATAATAGCATTGAAGTTTACTCCGAAGTTCTCTCTATGACTTTAGTATACAAATACGAATAATACGAACATACCATTTTATAAACAATTAATCTAACTAAAGCCAAGTTGAATCTAAAGTAAACATCTTTGTTCATTTAAAAATAATTTACCCCTTTAATTAAAGGATGGATTTGTTCGAATTTTTTAAAATAATTTATTAATTTATTTAAATACATATGTATTTAGCAGTAAGTAGCAATAAGGAATTGCTAATCTTCATTGAATGTCATTTAGATAACGTTTAAAAGAATAAAGTTTTTTTTAATTAGCGCTCAGTGATATTGTGTTACCCTCGGCTATATGAACGCCTTCTGTCAATAAAGAAATGAAAAGTCAAAACTTAGCTGGACTTCTGCCACTTTTTGCAGCCACTGCTACCGCTTCTGATTCGAAAGCAGAATCAGAACCAGAAACTGCTGCCCAAAATGAATGACTCGCCAGCGGGCCAAGTTCCCCGCTCAGCGTTCCACTTCCTTGCCCTTCGGCCCAGTAGTGCCACCCCGAGAAACCACCCAACCACCCAACCACCCACTGGGGACTCAACTTGTTGAGGAGTGACAGACCCACTCACTCGCCCGCTCGTCCGCTCGCCAACTCACTCACCGAACGAACGGATGACTGACTGACTTTCCTACCCTCAAGGTTCATCGTCAGTCCGTCAGTCACTCAAACTCGCATTTCATTCCATTTCCATTTCATTCACTTTGCCCGCTGCCCAAAACAGCCGTGTCTCGCCTTTCATTTGGCTGCTTCTTTTTGTTTCAGTGTAGTTTCCGTTGGTTGTAGTAAATTTTTCTCATTTCGCTTTTTGTTGGAGTGGTTTTTATACCCGTGGTTTCTAGAGTGCTTGGGTATGCTGGATAAGAAAAATGTTAGGGGAAAACTTTAAATGATAGTTTCTATATAAACTAAGTTAATGTGAATTTAAAAACATATGTTTTTAAGACCAATAAATATATTTCCAAAAAGTTACTGACAAACATACAAAAAAATAATTTTAAAATTAAAACAAGTCACTTTTTAACTCTTCAGTTAACTTCTTATCATCTATTACTAATAAACTAAATTAACTCAGGCTTTTCCTTTTAAAAGGACATGGGCAATGCTTTTGCGCCGTAGGGTATGCAACAAATTACATGGTATCTCAGCGTCGACTAACTGCATTTCCGGATCAACTTCTATTTGCGCTGTTGCTGTTTTGAGTGTTCCACTGGCCGCGCGTGTGTGTGTGTGTGTACTTTGAGCACAGCAAATGAAGAAAAACCAACTCGAACACACACACAGCCACAAAATGAGAGAGGCATAGAATGAACTAGCGGTAAAATGCATGAACAACGCCGGCTTGCCTGTCATGAAATTTGTATTTGTATCTCAGCGGCTGGCTGTTGCTGCCCTCGTCGTTGCCTCCCTTTCACCGCTCTCTCTCTCACTCTCTCTTTGACTCACCCCCGCCCACCTCGCCGCACCGCTCCGTCTTCTTCTTGCGTCTCGTGCTCATTTTCCGTTGTATTTTTCGATGCAGTCGCCCCATGGATTTCATTCCCTCTGCGCACTTCGAACCGATCGCTCGTACCGCTCCCGGGACTCGAAAACCGAATTCGATAAACGAACCCAAAACCGAAACCCAACACTCGCCGGACTTCGACTTCGATTCGAATTCCTTTTACGCGCTAAATTATCAGACTCTTGAAGGGCACATAAAGTTCTTGAAATTACGACTTTGCCAGATTGTGTTTGTGTTTAAAGAGCAAAGTGTAAACAAAACCGGAAGAATTACTTCGATATCTGACGAAAATGGGTCGCCTTTTCCAATACAATCGCTTTGGCGCCACGGATAACATCAACAAAAACATCAGCAAAAAGGATACTCAGCAGAAGAACAAGATGGTAAGTTTCCAGAGATCCTTAAGTCCCCTTTTGAAATTCCTGATATTGAAGTCTTTTTTGAAAACCCCTTGGTAATGAAACCTTAATAGTTGTAGGAAAATTTTTAGTATATTGGGTAATATTCAAAATTGTTAGTCCCAAGAAAAGTACTTTGAAAGGTATGTAAATTAATGAACGCATAATTACTTCAAGGAAGTATTGAAAGCCTTCTAAAAAAAAGTAATTTATAGCAAATGAAGAACCCTCTTAGAGCTTCCATGGAGAAAAGTTCAAAAAACCTTAAGATGTCTTCGTTCTCAGCCACAATCTATCTTCATAGACATTCATGCCCTTGATGACTCAAGCCGTTCTGGGATCTGTAGTTCCTAGCAGTCTATGCACATTTCACACTCCCCACACACCACCGAAACATCTATTCGGCCAACCCACGCACACTTAGCACTATCTACAGTGAACTCCCCACTACGTCGACCAGGGGAGAGGGGGGGGCCATAGCCAAATTCGAAACACGAACGACAACAATTAAAATGATTTAGTGTCACAGATACCAGGAACAACAACACCGTCCCATAAAGCCAGAAACAACAAAAACAACGAAAGCGCAGCATAATAAACTCGACTGTCGACGTAAATCAGTGGAACACTAAATCACATAGGGCCAAATAAATATGATTTGCATAAAAACTAAATCAAAGTTATATGCAAACAGAGGGCGGGTAGAAGGGCGATAGTAAAGTTAGCGAGCTAAGCCGAGCGTAAATCTAAATTCAAATAAATCAAATTGTAAATGCAGCCTGATTTCTGGCGATAAGTAGAGCAAACAAACGAAGCCCGAACTGGGAATTGAAATCAAAACATATGTTGGCCCCATAAAGATAGTGATTGATTTGAGAAAATGCATTTCTATATGCAAACAAAGCGCATATGTTATTTGTTTTTGATTGGCGATAAGCGCTAACTAGGCTTCATCGTCTAGCCGCGATGCCCAAAAAATGATAGCTTAATTAAGACAAACTACCTCGCCAGCTACCTGAATGCAAAGTCAACTTTTCTTAAGCCAACAGCTACTTTGCTTTACTAATCTCCTTATTTGACTTGGGATGCGGAGATGCCGCGCAGATACACAGATACTCAGATACAGCTCATAACAATGCCACGACATCTGAGCAGCATTTATCAAAATATTTGTTTAAAGAACCACGACGAACAGAGAAAAGTTTGTAATTTTAAACTGAATGACAGTTTGCGTTTTGCCTCCTCCTTTTATGCCGACCTCTGCATTTTTCATCCAGTCATTTTTCACTGGAATTGACACCCATCGCCTTCTGTATCTCGTCTCTCGGATTCTTTTTGTTTTGATCTATGAAAATCCGTCTTCCTCCTCCCTCTCCTCTCCTTTTATTCAATTTCTGTCTGGTTTTGGGTGTAGGTGTTGGCTGTTTTGGCTCCCAAAGGATTGTCTTTTGACAAGGGAAGTCTGGGTGTGGCCACAACGGGAGTTGTTTTACCGAGAAGACTCGAGTCCTACAAAAGACTTCTTCAAACTGTAAAGTGCGGGAATGCGCCCTCTTATATCCCTTAGATCTCCACGTATAAATCACTTGGCACATACCCGAAAGCCCCACCGCTTCCGTTATCAAAATCTATTACCAGACTCAGTCTGTTTACAGAGTCAACTGGATGTGCTGACAAACGATTTCAATTAGCCGGTTCGCAACAGATAAAAGGCATCTCGCCTATCGCGCGGGTCAAAGATACAAAACGCAATCGTCACGAACTGCAGTACGAGCACCATATATCGAAAGAGCAGAACTAATAAAATTGTCACACAACTGTTCGCTCCGTCTGAAATGACCATATGCTGTCTGGTTGGCAGGGAAAACGTCCGAGGAAGGAGGGAACTGCAACCATATTGCTAGATTAAAATCGGAGACAATTAAGACGGAAGAGATAAACTCGACTTTGCAGCGGTCTTATTAAAGCGAACTGCGCTTATGGGGTTTATTCTGTCGAAGTGTTTATGAACATGGGATTATTACTTCAATAAGTATTTGATTACATTTCATTAGGGGCAACAGTTTTAATTAATTAATTTTCTTGCTCATTTAATATTCCGCTTCGATTATAACAAGCATTAATCAGCAACAGGCCCATTTTCAATTTACAAAATATTTAAAATATAAACGGTCATCCATCATAAATTTAGAAAAGGTATGGGTATGCGATTGATAAATTCCAATGATTAAATCAAGTAGCCATCGTATGTTTTGCATAAATGACAAATGACAAATCTATATATATAAAAGCAAGTTGTGTTAGTTCCACCACTTATAACTTAAGAACGGCTGAACAGATTTGGCTGAAAATTGGTAGGAAGCTAGCTTAGAGCCCGGAATAGGAGTTAGGGTACTTTTTATTCCGTTCGACATACCAAAAATCGCATATAAACTGAGTTATTACCTCATCAAACTGACAAGCACACACTACCATAGCATTTTAACTCAATTTTTTTAAAGTGAGTAGAAATTATTTGTGATTTTGGTGAATTGAAGTGAAGTGAAGTTTTTCGTGCTTTTTGTGAATTGAAGTGAAGGGAAGTTTAATTAATAATGCCGCGACCAAGACGATCGAATCTTTCCCGACAAAGCCGTAATGCAAGAAGACTACAAAATACTGCAAATGGAAGGTCTGAAGAAGAACAAAACATTGAACGTGAACAGAACCGCGTTAGAATAGGTCGACTTCGTGCTTCTCAATCAGCAGAGCAAAGAGAGGCAATCCGTAATACGGCTCGGTTGACAATGCAGAATCGTCGAGCTTACAACAGAGGTCAAGAAATAGATCATTTGCGACGCAGAAGAAATTTATCAAGTGCTGATTTGAATCGAGCAGCGTTTCAATACGATTGCATCACTGATTACAGCTTGCATCCTAGCGTTTGCATTGGGCAAATGGACGTTGTTTGCGAGTATTGCGGTGCACTGAAGTTTTCCGGAGAAACGCCTGGATTATGCTGCTTTAATGGTATGTCGAACGGAATAAAAAGTACCCTAAGTCCTATTCAGATACGCACATTATTCGCTATCATAATTTCGACATGTACTCCCTCAAACCCATGTAACCTGTGGCACAAATACAAGGATAATATGTCAGAAGATATTTTACATCAAATTCGTGTCAGTTCCAGAAATCACGACATTGAGATGAATGAGGAGATACATAATCGGGCTTTACTCTTGATCGAAGATATGTGTTACCTCATGTGTGGTAATTTATTAATCAGGTTGGGAATGCCAGCGACATATCCGGCGAACTTTGTTCTGCCTTTTTTTGGAAAAAATTACAAAAATAATCAAAAACCTACATTAATATTTAATTTTTATTTCTGTATTTTGGTACATAGGCGTCGATCAAGTTGTTCTTCCATGTTTCATTGCTTAATGATACATCTGCTGAAGATTTCTCGAAGCAATTGCTGACTATCGGCAATGGTCAAGTACCTGTCGATGAATCGAGCGGATTAATATCATTTCGAAATAATTTTTGTAAGTGGTAAGCCAGGCACGTCCAAAGAGTTTAAAAATTTAATTGAATAGTTGGTGGCTTCATCTTCATTTGTGACTCAGTCAATAGATTTGAATGAATGCATTGTTCCAATGATCTTATTTTGAATTATGTAGTTCAGGTCATCAACATCTTTATTCTTAGCCGCTAAAATGGCTCTCTCACTCAACCATTCCTTATTTTTGTAGTTAGAAATAATGTTTGCAAATACATTGTTGATAAGTTCCTTTTTGATGAGACAAAATTACAAAAATTATTTCGAAATGATATTAATCCGCTCGATTCATCGACAGGTACTTGACCATTGCCGATAGTCAGCAATTGCTTCGAGAAATCTTCAGCAGATGTATCATTAAGCAATGAAACATGGAAGAACAACTTGATCGACGCCTATGTACCAAAATACAGAAATAAAAATTAAATATTAATGTAGGTTTTTGATTATTTTTGTAATTTTTTCCAAAAAAAGGCAGAACAAAGTTCGCCGGGTTTGCTAGTGTCTTATAAATATTCATATCCTAATTAACATGCAAAATATTTTATTCAGATAAATTAGTATGTTGTTGGATGATTAACATTAATTAGTTATACCGAAAATCAGGCAATGTTAGAATGCTTAAGAAAATACTAAGAAATCAAATATAATTTTCCGCATAAACAATGGTTTCGAGCGATTTGTGTTAGGGAAATCAGGCCGAAAGCATTTTCCTCCTCGTGTGGCTCATGATGCCATGCTCTGGTGCCTTCGACGCCCTGCTTAAGTGGATTTCCCCGACTGCAGAGATCCCGTGATGGGCCTCATAATTCTCGATGAGATGCAGCTAAAATTAAATCAACTGCTGGCGACGATTAGCAGCAATGAGCGCAGGCATTTAAATTCTAAGGCATTTTAATGCACTTTTACCCAGGAACTCTGTAACTCTGAATCTCTGGAACTCTGGCTCCCTTTCAAGGCCAGTGATTAATGTTTATTTGGATGTTCGTGTTGTACACATGTATTTACATGCAGACCCTTTGATTTTCGGGGGCCCCTGGAGAGGGGGAGTCTAAGGATAGAAAATTAATTGCACCGCTTTTAAGTGCATTTAATTAGGAATTTCCAAGCAGACGCCTTGTTCACTAAGCCAAAGATTTATTGGGGAAACTGCACAATCTGCAGCCTGCACAATTGATGAGCATAATTAAATAGCCGGCGACTGCAAGCATTCGACTTGCATGCATTGTAATTTATGCTCCATATTTTGTCCAACTACCGAATGCCCCGTCGCCTTGAGTAAACAACAATTTCACTTATTTTCATGCCGTCTGCCGCCTCGACCATCAACTGTCTGCATTGTTATTTTTACGCTCGACTCAATATAAATTTTCGCCCCTCTTCGTTTTGTTCGCCACATGCCACGCCATGAAAATGTAATGCAAATATGCAAAAAAGCTTTCAACGGGATCCGAGCGGCCCAACCTTCTATATCTCTTTTTTCCAACCCCCTAAACCCCTCCCCACTTCTCGTTTACTCTACTGGCTACAAATAGTTTTTGGTTTTGGCTTAGTCTGGCCATCAGCCATCAGAGTACAGAGTACAGAGAACCGGGAACGGAAAACCTAGCCAACATCATCGTTATCACCAGTCCGTTGTCCGTGTTTGAGTTTCATATGGCTTCCCACCAAGGATTTGTGTGCATTACGACGACTAGACTCGGGAAAAACTATTCGCAAGCCCAGTCACTAGACTTCCACACACAGGCTGACGTACTGGAGTTGTAGAAAAAGTTGTCAGTCTCTAATTAAATTGTTCTTCGGCTCTCAAAGTGATAAATTCCCAGAGTTCATTGCCTGCTCTTCAAAACATAAACTTCATATTCATCTCTTGAACAACCCACGCACAAGATAGAAAAACCCCAAAGAGATATGCCCATAAAACGCAATTAAAATTTCAACAATTTTCATTTGCATTTAATAAACCCATCAAAATGGTATTTTAAACACGCATAAAACACCCGGTTGAAAAGAAACAACTCAATTCGATTCACATTTCAATAATTTTTTATATGACCCAATTTTTTACACCTATAAAAATGCCAGACGAAAAAAAACAATGGGAAGCCATAAAAAAGCCAATGCCACACGCCACATGTGGCTAAACAAAGGATTTTCCAGCCAAAGGCAAGGCTAATTGTAATAAAAAATTTACAAAACATACCAAAAACCTGAGCCCATAAACATTTTCCTGGCATATAAAACTAAATTAGTGAGAAAATCATTTTACGAGTCTCCAAAAACGAACTCGTTTAACCGCCTAAAATGAAAAACTCACCGAAAAACCGTATTTTTTCAGGGGGAGTTGGGGGCTGCGAAGGGGGAGGGGGTGTGTGTCCAAAATGTGTGCGGGACGTGTTTTAAAAAATGTCATAAACTACTCGTAAGTCCATGTATCTCTGACATTTTGAAAGCCCCGACACGTGTGTCCGTGCTGGGATCACTTTGAGTTTCTTTTGGTGTGGCATAAAACTGTCAAATTAGCTGGAACTAAAAGCGAGATGTCTACGAAATATTCAAAAGCGCTCGACTAATGGCCCGGAGCCAAATGAAATATTGCTAATTTCGATAGGAAATGTCTGAAGGAATTTTCAAAATTTCATTGATATTGTTGGAACAGAACTTAAAGTGGGTGGCACTGACAGTTTAGGTTTTTTTTTTTTTGGTTTTAGGGTGGCAAAAGGGGAGGGCTTTGTTTTGGCAGCACAGCTGCTTTGGCAATTGCCCAATTTGTGAGCGGATAAGTAGCCGGTTAGCGTTATTGCGGTTGCAATTTAAAAGCCACTAGTCCACTTCCACCAGTTAACCACTTCCCAAGGTGGAAAGTTGTGGGTTGCGCTCGAGTGTAGGGTGGTTTTTGTTTTCCAAGACCCTTCAGCAGCTGCTTGATTTTCCAGAGCCAGCGCTCAGAAATTCAGGCATATGTCGGTGGGACCTCAAGTGGCGCACAAAGGAAACATTTCAATAAATTCATCGACTCACTCCGGGCACTTCAACTAATTTCTGTACCCCCCTCTAAATGCACAATAAATGAAAATTTAACAACTGTTTTTATAAGGTCGAAAAAGGGTCTGCGGCCAGGTCTACCTACCATACCTTCTTGTCTGTCAGCTGTCGAAGGTGCCTCGATTCGGTTACCTGAGTCTTTATTGTAACACATTTTGATTACGAAAATATGCTAACACCTCGCTGGCCAAACAAAGAGATGACCAAGAATGAAAAGCCGGCCCGGGGCGCTGTTTCATCATCAATTAGAGCTCAACCTTTCCGCAGGGCAGGATCGGAATATAAACCAATTGGAGCGGGAGCGGGGGATAGACCTATGATTATTGCATTAGCAGGCAAAGAGAAACACCATCAAAATAACGAAAGGGCCAACACGCCAACACCTTTGGGTCACTACTGTGTGTGCTGGATTTTATTTCGGGGCCAGTTTTCCTCTGGCTCAAGGCCTATTATCATTGAAATTACGGTTCCTTTTCTTTCGCCTGGCCTTGCATAAATTAAAACTCATGTAGCTGGCAAGAATCGTAGCCATTAAACGCTCGTTGGCCCATTGTGTTTGATTTAAGCCGATAAAAGGTACACTTTTGAGGCATTTCACGCCGCTTTTCCCCGCGCCGAAACTTTCAACAGATTTATGCGCTGCGTGGCCACATCAAAGGCAACCTCTTCTTCGGCCATGGCTCGTTGGCCACGAATTAATGTCCGACTGACCAAGATGTGGCAACAATTTTGGGGTGCCTCCATGTTTGTTCACATATAAACAAGATTTTCAATTGGAAATGCAAATCGATGGGATGGGATGGCCTGCAACGGAAGTTCTGCGTCTGCACTTCCTTTGTTTGGGCTCCAAAGCCTCTAATTTATTGAATGTGTTAAAGTTTATAGCCGCCAATTCGACGCCGTCAACTAGAAGGCATCCAGAATCTTAAATGTATTGATGTATAGTGAAATTAACGTTTTAAACCCTCAAAGGGCCACTTTGCTTAAAACAAAACCCCTTCTCATAAAGCTCTAACCAACGGCGGCCAAAGTGTTAACTTGCACCACCTAAAAGCGGGAATTATTTAAACATTTTCGAGGGAAAAGTAGGTGTTGAAAAAAAAGCGACTAGCAACCCTCGACAGGAGCTGCATATGAATATTTTATAAGCGAAATGAAAGGCAAATACGAGTAGGGAAAACAACGGAGAGGCAAATTGTGCAACAATGAACAAGTAGAGCAAGCGCATTACAAGGATATCACAGCAGCAGTGACCCAAAAGCATTAGCAGTCGTTGGGTTTTTTTCAGCCGGGGAATGACACTGGGAATGGGAATGGGATTGGTCTAACAAAGGCAGAATCAGAACAAAGCCAGGATAATGGGATGGCAGTGTGTGTGCTATCTGCGTGGCTGTTGCACAAGAGCCCTGTTCGAGTGAAATGGGAAACCCCGAGGTAGATAAGATTTATAGGGCCACTCCTGACACTTTCTACAAATTTCCCGACCAAAACTAACAAAAAATCCATCTTGTTTGTTCTCGCCCCGACAGCTACGTAATGCCATCAAATGTCCAGGATACTCGGACATCTATGGTCAGTTCAATAAGGAGTCGTCCTTCGAGAAGTGCCAACAATGGAGCAACAAGCTGCAATTCCCGACCGCCGGTGAATTGGATAAACAGGAACCGATCCAGAGTCGCACGCACAAGGTCTACGACAGCATGAAGAATTTTCTGCACCGCAAACTCTTCGCGCAACCCTCGCAAAAGGAACAGAGCTTGAATGAAGAACCCACCAGCGATTATGATGAGGTGTGTATAATTTATAATATGCTAGAAATAATGCTGGGAAAAAAATTGATATACAAAAACAATAGCAACTTAAAACAAACAAATTAAATACTTATTAAAATTTATGAAATATGTTAATATCATACCAGAAACTAGTCTAAAACTAATTTCATTATAGATAGCATTTTTGATAAGGGTCTATGTAAATTAATATTTTGATATCTGAGACCAATTCGTGTAAAACATTGTGGTGCACCCATAATAGGTTTCCACAAGTGGAACCATAAATTTAAGAACCCTTTCTTTCGAATGGTAATTTAATTGGTTTTTCCCCTTTCTTTTTAGCAGGACCTTCTCGACTCCTCGTACCACGCCGACGCGGAGGAAGAGGAGGAGGAGCGCGACGCGGATTGCAGCTGCAGCTCCACCGAAAGTAGCAGCAGCACCACCGGCAGCAACTCAACCACGCCCAAGCGCTCGCCCCAGAAGTCCTTGCTGTCCCTCAACTGCTGGCAGAGCAGTCAGCCGAGCAGCGACTCCAATCCCGAAGAGGAGGAGGAGGAGGATGCAGAGGAGGACTCCGATGCAGGAATCTCCGATTGCTGCCAACTGCTGGCCGAGAACTCCCCCAACTCGATGAGCAAACGGCGCAGAGCAGCTCCTCTGTTCACCAGATACATTAGCGCCAATCAAAACTCGGACGACGATGAGGACGAGGAGCCGGAGTTGCTGGAGTGTCCCTGGTACCAGCCGAGGATTACGGCGAAGGCGTCAATGGAACACCTCCAGCAGGCGACACCTGGCAGCTTCCTCCTGCGCCGCAGCACTCCGCGGCACTTCGAACTCGTCCTGCGACTCGAAAAGAGCAACAAGGTGAAGAGCTATCCGGTGCAGTCCACCCGGAATCAGATGTACCGCCTGAAGGGAGCCAAGAAGCAGTTCACCAGCCTGAAGGCCCTCATCACGCACCATTCCGTGATGGCCGAGCAACTTCCACTGACATTGGACTTGCCCAGGGAGCGTCATGTGGTGAAGGCCTCGTCCGTTCGCTATGCAGATGACTTCGAGCCACTGGAATCCCTGCAGCTGCTCGGCATCCTGAAGAGCCTGCAGGCCAAGAGCATCGAGATATAGAATATAGTTATGAGGCGGGGTCTCATCGGGCGGGCTAAACATTAATATCGAACTGCAAACGGAACGATAGGTGAAAGTAATTAGGAATTTTGTTTGTTGTATGCATAAGTACTTGTGATATAGTTTACGGAATTGCGGGCTGAGCAACCCTCGAATTTAGTTAAGGCTACCGACTAATTGAAATATATTGTAACCGACGTACGGCTAAGTTTTCTATTGTTAATGCGGAATATGAATAAAAATCGAACAATGGCATTCAGCAAAAACGCAACCCTCGAGAGTTCAATGTGTCCACGCCCCGGCAATCGATGCGTTTCCTGTTTTCCCCCACCCCGAAAACCCGAGGAACCCGGGAGTCCTCCAGGAGTGGAGGGTTGGCCGGAGAACGCTTCACTTACATGTGATTAGCGATTCGAGTGGCTCTCATTAATTTTTCAAGTGCGGCTCGTGGAGCCCTCGACGCAATTCACCCGGCAACATGTTGCTGGTTGCTGGCAACATTTTAGTGGCATGAATAATTACAGCAGCTACATTAGTTACAACATCGCTTTTCAGCATTGCAAAGTGACGACGTCGTGTGCAAATAAATAAATCATGAGGCTTTTGCGGGTGATTACCAGGTTTCATTCGGTATTTGATTGGATAAAATATTGATTCAAAAAATTGTTATGAAACAAGAATAAATGCAAGCGTAGAAATTGTGTAAAAGCCTGCATAAATTTGTTTATTTTTGGTAAAGTAAAGTAAGTAAATAATTAAATAAGTAATATTTTCTCTAATGCCTTCATTGAATGCTTACTGTTTTTATTTTATAGTCCATTGTTAATAGCCAACATAAATTAAATCTTTTATCAAATTTACTGTCAAAATACAAAACACTCTACATAAAACTAATCCTCAAACGCATATAAGTATGCTATGGCTTTCAAAACAGATCCAAAATCCAATGAACCCTAAAAGCATACAGCAAAAGAGAAAACAAGAACACATTATAAGGGATATGGAAAAAATGCCTATTTAACACAATTATCCTGGGTCCAATAAAGCCGGATGACTACATTTGCAATATTCCCCAATGTCAGCAATATCGCTAAATCATTTCCGTTTTAGCCAGTGTGAAAAAGAACCTTTTTATGGCCCATGATTGATATTCGACATTATTTGCTTACGCCAAATAATGGCCATAATTCACAGATGCAAACAATTGGCAGGCAAGTGCATAAAATATTTAAATATAAACTACAAATATTCGCACTGACAGCAGCCGGACAAAAGCTGAACGGATTTCACCCCAGAGGCCGTGGCACAAAAGACCATTAACAATAACGAGGCCGGGAAAAAAACATCGGCAAACAAATTACAAATAAATGGAAATGCTGACAGCATTAATAACGTTACATAATTAATAAGCGAATCGAAATGAATACAATAACTGAAAATGGAAAATGTAATAATTATGACAATAAATTAAGCGAACAAGGGGCTCGGATTCTTTTAGTTATTTATTTATTTAACTGGCGTCAGTGCTTTACGATTTAAATCGAAGTCACCCAATCATTAATTGCCTGCCAATCAGACCAACCGCAAACTGGCAATATTTCAATGAAATTGTCTTCGAAATTACCAGAGCACACAGAAATGGAAAACCGAATGCCTGGGAAATGGAAATAAAACAATCTTATGTTTCTGGATTGGCAATATACCTAGAATGGTTCACATAAGATTCCGGTATCCGATAACCGTAATTCAATGGAATATTTGGAAAATACTGCAGTGGAGTCCTTCCAAATTTCATTTACCCTCGTCCTTTGCTGCTTTCTACTCCTTTCACTTCTCCGTTGGACGTAATGGAATTCAAATTGAATTCAAAAGGGAGCCGGAAGTGTGTGTCCAGGCATATGTGAAAATAAACATTCAACATTTTCGCTAATGAAGTGCTTTCATCTGCAATGCATGCAGAGTTCTTTTTTTGCTCCCTTTCACTTCAACTGTTTGCATAATTTTTGCACCAGTTTGTTTAGCTTTTCAATCCCGACAGATGGGAAAGCAACAAAACCGAGAGTGTCGCCCGGTAAATTTCATTTTCATTTGTATATGCCTCACTAATTATAAAATGGTTGCAGTAATTCTATAGAAAGCATCTAAAATACTCCCTTGGGTAAAAGTAAACACAAACAAAGGGTCATGCGAATGGTAAATTAATTAAATGGAAATTAGAAAGTGGTCGATTTAGAAAATTAAAATGGTAAATGTGGCCTTTTGCAAAGGGATTGTCTGGTTTTATAAAAAGATATTTTTTTTTTGACATAAAATGAATGTGAATAATAAAAACAAAATGTAAAGTTTTATATTTAAATACTTTAAAAAAAAGTTAATTTAAATAAAATTTGAAAAGATTTTTCTATGAACGCATTTCATTGTTTTATTTTTTACTGAAACGTGAGCTTTACAAATATTTATCTTAATCCCAATTAAAATTTGTTTATCTAACAGCTCAATAATTACGCCTTTGATGCCTTCAATTAAGTTATACATCTGTGTGCTATCATTTAACCACCATTGAACTGCACTATTCATATGTCCACCCACTTCCACTTCCCACCTCTTTTAACCGGTTCTAACCGCAGCTAATTACAAAAACAGCTCTTCTATTTGAAGACCCCCAACCCAAGCTGGCCATGTCCTGGGAAAATCAATAACCGACGACGAGTGCATCCATGAATGGTCAATCATTCAGCAGGGATTCTCCGACTACCATTCATTCATCCGCATTACCAAAGGAGTTGAAACAGGAGTGAAAGGAAAATCTGTGGGAGCAGGACCCCCAGCGATGAATGGCATTTGCCATGATGTTGCCTGGATTATCTTCTGTTTATATGGGATTTATTTGCAGGCAAGCAGGGGAGCAAGGGATGCAGGATGCAGAAGCAGGAGATGGAGCATGTGTTGCCATGACGGCCGCCATTGCCTTTGTGCGCCTTTTGTTGCTGCGGATGCTGCCAGTCTGGCATTGCATAAATGTTTTGCCTTTTAATTAGCACGCATTTCAGATTCGACATTCAGCATTCAGCATTGGCCTCCTCACAGGCCTCTTAATGCGCTTAAAGCAGATCCAGCAGCCAGCCTCGATTGATAATGATGGAAAATACTGGCCAGCTGAAGAGAAAATTCAATCAGCCACAGCTTCGAACTCCCAGTTGAATAATGCAATCTGAAGAACGGAAGACGCAAGGCAAGAAAACAGAAATGCACTTGTAATAAATTCGGGGAAGTTTAACCATCAAACAACTAAATTTTCCTTGAGTCTAATAAGAAATGGTTTGTTTTTATAAAAAAAAAAATCATTTGTAGATCAATAAAGTTTAATTGCTTTCTTTTACTAAAAATGAGTTCAGAAGAGAGCTACCATTTAAACATTTAAAATTCTATTGACCTAAAACTTAAATAAATTGAAAATATAATTCTGTGAGCTTCTGCAGTGTCTTGAATGGCTTTTGTATGAAAGCTTAATAAAATATCTTCATGTATTTTTCGATGAGTGGCAAGACCAGTAGCTCGCAGCAGTATGGCGGAAATTATGTGCCACTCGAGTGTCCAACGAGCCGTGACCCGAGTATGATGTAAGTCTGAGAGAGAAGTGCAAAAAAATTGTGTCAGCAGGGGCACGCACAAGGATAGCGAAACCGCCCGGTGGCTGGTGGCTGACTGACTGGCCGACTTATCCCTTATCCTTAGCTACGTGATCCTGCGACGACAGCAGCGCCAGAAAGTATGCAACAAGCAGCGCAGAGTGCACTCAATTGTTTAGCTGCCCCTCGGTGGTAAAAGGGTGTGGCACAGAGTGAGTTCCTTTGTGGCACACAATCTATATAAAACAGAAAATCAGTTGGCACTCGGCCAAGTGCATATTAAAAGCATTCAACACACTCTGAGGTTGGAAAATGATTTTAAAGCAGGCAGAAAACCAGCACTTTAAACGGAAGGAAAGCTCTTGGGAATTAATTGTATATTATTTTCCACTTTATGATAGGTAAATATTTGCATTTGAGTATGGCATTAATTAAAGTAATTACCCTTTCCTCTGCCATCTTTCTATCTCTTCTAAGCAAACCAAAGCAACTAACGAAATAATTGAACTTAATTGTGTGGCTTCGTTTTAAATTGGTTATGACAACCTTTGGGTTTTCAAGCGTTTGTTTTCTTTTGTTTAACATTGCTTGAGCTCTTTATAAACTACATTTAATTAATGTTTTAGTTTAGCCAAATGGTTTTCATTTTAAAAGGGTAAAGCCCCTAATCCCTTAAACGCAAAACAGTTTCTAGGAATTAAATGCTTTTGCTTTTTAGTCTCAACAAATAAGCTTTTATCATTTAAATATGCCTGACTTTAAATTGATTAAATAAACCAAAGTATTATAAAGGCATATTATATCTTGTATGTATACAATTTGTGTGGCTCCTGGCTTTCAGAATACATTTTCTAAGAATTAATTAAAATTAATTCCACCCCCAAAAGCTGTTTAGAGTATTATCTTTAAGCGATAATGAGGCTCTTACGATTTGCATCCCCAAATCAAAATAATTGTCCGCTTCCTGTTGCTGCTCGAAGTAAAAGGAATAAATCAAAATGCCCATATGTATCCTTTCTCTAAACTTGTATCTTTTAATTTTGTTAATTAATCGATATGTTCGCTCCTTCCAGCGATTCGCTTTGGCCCCCTGTGGCCAGGCAAACAATTAGAGGAAAAGGAACATCCAGCTGGCTGGGCGAAAAAGGCAACAGTCTGTGTCCCTTGCAACAATAACACATGGCATCACTACGCCCATGCCACCCGCCACCCATTACCACCCCCTTCGGTCGCTCACATGATTTACAGTCTCAAAGCCCGGCGGCAAAAGTTAAGAAATGAAATTTCAAGAAAATTGCACAAACAACAGGAAGCCGGCAAAAAGTGCGGGGTGGAGTGGGTGGAGATCGGAGCTTCGAGGGCATTGAGCCAAAAAGGAAATATTGTAAAACTCTGGCTATAAAGCAAATACACGATACATATCATCCACGGAGCACTCGGTGGTTTGGGGGAACCCAAAAATGTGAGCAGCACAAAAGTCGTTATCTTAATTACTTTTATAGCTTCGATTTGGGGCGAGTGGAGCCAAATGCCAGTAACGCCAAAAGAAAACACAACAACAGAGAAATGACAACTACAAGGAACAAACATGGAAGGGCAAGTGGGAATCAAGGATACCTTGGAAAATGTCACAGGGAAATAC